TAATAAATTAATACATAATATTTAGTAGTATTTACAATAAAAAAAAATATTTCTTTCAATTATCTTCGCTATTATTTCTTCTCATATATTTAACAAAATTCTACAATATTTTAAATTTGATAGCGTTTTCGTATAGTGTAGTCTCAATTAAATGCGTCATTTACTCAATGTGTTCTAAATGTGATGGCCTGACTGCTATGGTGGGAGTTTATACACAATTTTTTGTCAACTGATGCGGGCAGTTGTCGGTGCTCTAATTAAGCTCAAGCGTCGCAGTCAGAGTCGGAGTCGGAGTCGGAGTAAGAGTAAGAGTCAGCGTCAGCCTCTGCGTCAGAGTCGGTTGCATAAAGCCTCACTCTGAGGGGAATCATTAGAGCTAATCATGCTGAATGCTGAATGCTGAATGCTCTAATCAGTGTGGCTTTTGCTTGGCAAATCAATTTGTACTCACACTTTCATGTTTTCACTTTCGATTCGACTAATTGAAAACAAATAGGGGCGTGTGTGGTGAGCGAGCCAGGGAAACCGCAAAAATGGCAAAATAGCTGCAGCAACAACGACAACGACAACAAATGGTAATAAAAACGAAAACATCAATTACAAAAGCTGCATGGAAATTGTAAAATTAATGGCTGGAAATTGAGAAAACGTGAAACCACAAGAAATTTCGTATATATAGACATAGATAGATGGACAGATAGACAGGCGTGGGAGAGCACAAAAACAAACTGATTGACAGTGGGTGCTCCAGGTTCGTCTATATCTATATATATTGTATCTATATCTCTCTTTCCCGCCACTCCAGAGACGAGCCAAGTGAAGTAAACAAGCCAAAGTGGGTGCAATTATTATGGAGCAAGAGAAGGTAGAAGAAGAGTTTTTTGGAAATCCTAAAAAAAGCTCTTGCACTCTTGAGGTGTTTTATTTACCAAAACTTTCTTGTAAAAAATTTAGAAATTTTTTATAAAAAATTATATTGATAATAATTTTTACAAAATTCTTTTTAATTATAATAACAATTTTCTCTAATTAGTTTTTCTCTAATATAAATATTTTCCAGCTACATTTTTATATACGTGAAAAATTTTAATTGGCCAACACTTGCCGTTTAGGACCATCAAAGGAAGCTTAATTTCTAGCACAGTTATCGACAAGGCTTAAATTCAAGCAATTAACCGATTAACTTTTGTCTACAGTTCAATAGAACAAAGAGCAAACCCAATTAATTGACAATATGTATAGAGCGCTCTACTGCGTCTAATCGACGTACAGTGAATTCACACTTGAACGAAAATCATAGCTATATTCCTTTTGTCTATTCACTTGAACTATATATAAAAACAAACAGCTTTATATATACTTGGAATTTCTGGAATTAATATTAAAATAGACTCTCTAGAAATGTAAACCAAATCAGAATTATTTCAATAAATTGATAGCTTGCCAAACTGTTTGGTAACTCAGATAGCTAAGACGCATGCGAAATGTTTAAACAATTAGCCATTAACTTTAACCAACTGGCAGTGCAACAAAAAAAAAAAAGTGTTGATAATCAGCTTCAATTAAAATTAAAATTAAAATTGAAATTGTATTTAATAAGCTGTCGCGCTGCCATTAAATCGAATGCAAATTCAATTAAACTTAAACCATATGAATATGCAACAATTTGTCATGCTAGAAAAAAAAGTGAGATGGAGCGAGAGAAAGAGGGAGAAGGCAAATCATTATGTGACACTTTAATTAACTTTGAGTAATTATAATAGCGCTGGCTAACGAAACTCTCGCCGATGCTGAACGTGAAATAGGCGCATATATGTAGGAATCTGGGATTGAGAGTTTCTTTTAAAGGCCCGAGGTTGAAATGTTATATAGGAACTATATATTTGAATCAAGATATATAAAAAATGCTAAAAGCAATTATTATAATTTACCTTTGGTTTAGCAATCGTGTTAGTTGGTAATTAAAATCATCTATAAAAATGTATATTTCATTTATTTATATATTAATTTATATGCTATCTAGCTTACTTCTAAATATGCTTACTCCAATTATATATATTTTCCGTCTATTACCTATACACACAAAATGCCTCTCATATAACATAATTAAAATATTAATAAAGGCGTTATTCTCTTCCTCTCTCCCAAATTTTTTTCGGCAAGTCAGCGCAATTAAAAGTAAATATACACTGAGAACCTTTGCCATTAATTATTTATCTATAAACATATCTATACAAAGACCATATAAAGCTTTATCAACGCAATCAACGATATCCGCTGCCGCCCAGCAAAGTGTAAAAACTACATTAACAAATGAGCTTTGCTGAGATTGTTCGTTTCAGGTGGGCCTCAATAATTCCAATTCAGATTCCCAATTTATTCGCGTTGAGCGGAAATTAATGATTGATAAGCAGCATCAAATGACAAATTAATTGATTGAATGCCCAGACTGAGCATGGGTATTAAATGAAGCTTTGGCACAAAGCAATTTTCCAAATGTTTCTGTCTCTCCTTCTGCCTCCCTCTCCCTCTTCCTCTCTCTGTCTTTGTGTGTGTGCGGTCTATTTATTAGGAATTGTTGACCATCAAATTAATTGGCAAACAATTGCTTTTCACTTTCGGGATCTTAACCCAAATTAATGTAGCCAGACACTGCTAAAGTACTTTTTCGCATAATAACACAGACAGACATAAGTACTTATTATATTTATATATAATATACCTAAATACTGATATTGATTTCATTTAAATTGAAAAACCTTTGATAAGGTACAATTTTAGCCATCATTGATATTTAAGATGGATTCTTGATTGAAGATGTTTGGATTTTTGTCTTTATTAAATGCAATTTTTGATAATTTACAATTTAATATAAAATAAATAATATAAAGATTTGTTGTAAAAAATATTATTTAAATATTTAAATAGACGGCCGGACAGACAGTGAGACAGGCGGACAGGACCAAATCAACCCAGATCGTCCCTCTGATCAAGAATATATATGTGGGGTATATCACGCCTGCTTCTGCCTGTTACATACTTTTAACATTTCCCATTAAACGTATAAAAATAATTTCAAGTGTCTGCTGAGTTATATGCCAAAATCAGATCAACCTTTGACTTCCTACAAGTTCGAATCAATTCTTAAGACTGAACATTTTCAGACAACATTGAAGTGAATTTGTTGCTAGGATCATCTTTTTCTTGTAGGAACTCTGCGTGCACTTTCTTTTTACCACCATCTACCTATAGGATACACTCTCCACCTACTAAAGTCTTTGCATTGATCATTGAGAGTGCTATTAAACTATCTACTGGCACTGCTGAAGGGCAACTCGCCCCCCGCCTGGCAAGTGCTGCTAGCAGGTAGCTAAACAAGGTGTTGCACACCTGGCCGATGTCGATGCGGCCGGCACTTCACTGCTGAGTGGCCAACAACTTGGCCAACAGCTCGGCACTCGGCAGTCGGCACTATCGGATGACTTTTTGAATTGATTCCGATGACAAAAGAAATTAAATCGCATTCGTTGCGCCGCAGGACAGGAAACGGAAACGAA